TAAGAGAGCTGGGTAACGAATTGCACGCGGTCGACAGTCTTGTAAGGAGCGCTCAGGCTGATAGAGTAAATTTCGTTCTCCCCATGTTCAAATGGTCCTGTGTAGCGAAACAAAATCGTACCCACAGACTGTGGGCCACCAATGAGCAGAAAAGTACCCGAGAGCTATCGTAACGACGGTAGTGCATGGAACTCACCTGTACTCGTGGATATTTCGCATTTGGTCGACGTCCGCGAGGTACTCGGCTGGCCGCGAGAAGGCTTTCAATAGAGAAGGCACCGCAATCCTTGCTCTGCAAATTTTCTTGCGTTAGAGGCTAATAATTCTTAATGGGCCCGAGCACAGTCTATACCTTGGAAGGGGGGGGGGGGGAGAGGGCTACCTCGGACTTGGCTTTAAGCACGGCGGCAGTAGACGTGGGCGTGGGCGCCATTCCGTTAGAGGCAGTGAGCACCCCGGGGAGGGGGTACTACGAACGTCACTGGTGGTCTGTGTGGAGTGCGGCCAAACGTGTTCTCTCAGTGCTTCCACCAATGACGTTGGTAGTTACCGCCCGCCCCCAGCCATTGTCCGCAGTGCTTTCAAGAGAGCGTGGTTGGCGCAAGAGCACATCAGTGCACCTCTTACCTCATTCTGCCTAACGTGGAAACTGTCTACAGCCGCGCTGCTGCTGCCACTTCCGGGGACACTTCTCCTTCAACGCCGTGATATGGACACTAATCAGCTGTTCTCTACACTTACCTTTCCGGGTTCCTGGCCGTCATCCTTAGAGGTTGCTTGCTCTGAATGTCCATTCTTTATATTCTCCTTCTTTCTCCATTTCGCCCGACGATTTTGGAACCACACCTATATACTGTATATTAATCGAGAACCAATGGTCTGATTAGATGAATGCAATCTGAAATAAAGCAAGTTAAGTTGAGACTAATCGAGGCTAGCAGCTGAACCGCAGCTGAATTGCATTTACAGAAGTCATGGAAGAATAGTCTAGCTCGTCATCAGTTTAACCAGCGACCGTTACAAACTACGTTAAAATTCTAAACAGTGCTCTTCATGGGGATTGTGTTTCCTGCTTGTGCCGCGATTCCTCTAGAACAGTGAAAACCTAACTTCAGGGTTAGCTAGGAGGCTGGATCAGGAAGGGCATAGTCAGCACGCATTGAAAGTACAGACCAATTAAACCTGTGCAGGATATATGGCACATTCGGAAAATATCGCTTTTATACCATCAGTAGACGCTTTCCACATGATCTTCGCCAGACATGAAGGAATTATTCCCAAAGCGAACTATAGTCAACGCAATTGTGTCCGAACGCATGCCTTGTAGCTTACACACTCTTTAACACTGGAGTCGCGGGAGTTCTGCGGCGCGTAGCTTTTGGCGCGGCGCCATTTCTTTGTCCTCCATTCACTGAACGCCACGAAACGCAGAAAAGAAAACGTTTCTTCTCCACTGCAGATTAGATCGACCAACTGTGGATTCATTTTTATGCAGCCCACGGAGTTCATCGCCTGGATTGACATGGTCAGGATCATTATCCAGTTAGGCTTACGGGCCGGATAACCTTTGACCAAGTTGCTTGCACAAAGTGGCTTCGTACGGGCACCTGAAAGCGCATACTTGCCAGTCCGCCGAATCGACTCTCCCGGTGAAGCGGCCACCGCGTCGATGAGTCGTGTAAAGTACTGAATTCACATGAATTTGATTCTGCTAATGCAAATTCTGGACATCAATTCGTAAGTTCTATGGCCGTCGTCAGCAACAGCAGTCCGTGAGAATTATATTGGGAATCGCTGAGAAAGGCATTTAGAAACCTACCACAACAACCGGCACAGCCGAGACGTACAAAAAGCAGGACATTTCCATGCGGCTGCATATTATGACATTGCTCAATCATCAGACCAATAATGCTGAGTTTTTGGGTGCGTTAATTAAGCTGATTATGCGGTATAAGCGAGTATGTCGTTTTCGGATAAAAACGTAACCAAGATCAGCAGCTAAAGGTTGTAAGTGTAAAACGCGCAGAAGCGTGCTACTTCATATGAAAATGTGCGGCGCAAGACCAAATACATCTTCTTGCGGATGTCGCAACGCATAATATTGCTCATCGCTGTGTTTTTTCGCGACTTCCTCTTGCACTCCGATAATCTTGCCGACCAGATTGTCCTTCACCTATCGGCTCAAATTCTTGCTTGTATCAGCTACAAAAGGGTCGCCAAAGGACTCTCGACGAAATTACTCTCGAAGATTTTCGATTTTTTTTCTGTATAATAAATAGCGTAGACGTGCAATCGGTCCCTTGAATTCATACACTTAACACCTTCCTCACAGAAGGCCAGTTGTACATGATTGGTGTTCGGCCTAAAATGCTAGTGGGGCGCTATATAGTGGGGGAAATGGCGAAAGAACGGAGCGAAACGGCCAAAATGCTGCAAAGAAAGAGCCTTCCTTCCTCAGGCGTGTTAGAAAATCATTTTTTGCACTGAGTTTCCTGCATGGCATTGCTGCGCCAATAAACCGCTACCGAAGGTGCGGCTGCATATGTGTAACTCATCCAGCATTCCAATGCAGGCATCACCGCCGTCATACACATTAGGAACGGGTCGTCCATTTGTGGGCGGGCGTTTGGGGGCGTAAAGTTGTGGCTTGATAGGGCCCTTATAAGGGCACCTTCCTTGGAAAAGGCATTATGCAGCGCCTGCTCAGGGTCGCGGAATTCCGTCCTGCCAGGCGTATTAATCCTACTCGTCTTGGGGGATTTATCGTGCCAACTGCCTTTAACGAAAATCAAGAAAGGAGGTAAGATACAGTAGCGCTCGAAAGGTTAGTAAAACGATTTACTGTGCACGAGTTTTTGCAGCTCTACTAATCCATTTTGAACATAAAGGTGAGATCGAAGTAGTGGACGTTGATTACAAGCAGCCTTGATTACAGTCGTAATCCCTGCGAACGATAGGGGGGGGGCATTGCCTAGAGCGCACCCAGATCAGATATCCCATCAGCTGTATCGGGCTCAGGCTGGCATCGGTGGAAAAAAGGTATCCTGGTTGCGCTGCAATCTGTACCGCGTCACAGGCCCTATCGTTTGCAGGCATCATGACTTTTCGCCCGTAAGGATGAGCGATTTTCTTCTATTCTTCGCAGAAACCGTTTTCACTTTCTGCAGCGCTACTGTGATGCCCCATTTTTCGAAGTCTGAAGAGTTTTTAACATCATATCAGAGTATTCGTGCAACGGACACTCTGAAATTAAGTTGGAAAAAAAAAGTTAAAAAGTCTTCAGTCCCCGATAGAAAGAGAGGTCTTAGGATACTGGAAAAGCAGTACGAGTATTACCACCTAGAGAAACTGGAAGATTTCAGAATGTCACATACCATCTTCTTTTGATCGCATAGGAGAAACCTCTTGCCAAACTGAGAGAATCATGAGCTTGATGGGCAGTCAGTGATTTGACTTCTATCCGCTATCAAAAGTCTATCGCCGTCTAGGATAATCCTAACGTCGCTTGAATCGAAATCACATCCGAATTAGATACCATCAGTGGGCCAAACCTTAGTAAACAGAAGGAAGGAACAGTGAGTGCTACAGGATTCGTGACTAGTGTGAATAGTTCCTGTTGTAGAGCCTACACAAGATTATTACAAAACTTATCCGGCTTCAGCTAAACCGACTTAAATTTCGGCTTTTTCGCTTTCTTCAGAACAGGGAAAGTTAAAATTTCCAGGCTCTGAGGAACGCGAAAAGGCCACAGGTGGGACGAGTCGACCAAAGCCGAGGCCAAATAAAGTTTGTATCACTTTAAGATAGGCTTCATTGGAACAATCCGCTCTGATCTTCATGAAGAGATTGACAGGACGTCGAACGTGATGTTTAGAAGGCGTTGGCAAAAAAATGGCCAGTTCGCTCACAGAAGCTGACGGCCGTAGTAGGGTTCACTTGTTACCATTTTCATTGAGGAAACAATCACGCGAGCGGTAGCACACTCGTTAAAATATTTTTCATTGGAAATAAATTAACCGAGGGGATAGCACGAGTCATATACCTATAACTAAGAAAGAAAAGCAAATAAGCTGGCTCCGCAACAAAAACTCATCTCGCTCTCCGCTTCGAATGTTCCGTAGTCAGCGTTCTGCAAGCTGGGCACTTACTGTTAGGCCCATGCCCTCCTAAATAGCTCAAGTGATCAATTAGAAATTCAAAAATGGAATCCCTTGTTGAATTTGGAGACACGGTGGTAACAGAGAGTTGAGAGTAACAGCACTAGAAGCGGCATTCACATCGAAACCTAATCAATTTAACGTGGTAGTTCTGCTGTGCATCACGTCAGCTAAGAAGTGCTCCTCTGGCATGATTGTACACTCAATATCCCGAAGATGGACACGGCCTGGCTGAGTACCTCAATTGAATATTTTGGAAGGATATTTCCATCTGAGACAAATGTTATACTGCCTTCTGCTCGACAAATACACGATTACCATTGTCCCCTGCAGGCAATATCCCATCAAAAGGTAGCCAGCACGCTCTAATAGAGCTCGTAGTTACCTTCATTTTTGTAATAATAATGGGGTGATGTTTTAACAATAAGCTATTTACATCCGACAGTAAATGATATGGAACCTATTAGTGAAATGTACGTGTCAAGAGGTAATCAGCCGAGCTCCCCCTCTTACAACAGCGAGCCAGAATAAGCCCCAACGTATCCGAATACCCATTTTGCCACATTACGCCAGCACAAGACTTGAAACCGGCAGCTTCTTCTAATTTTTTCTGTACTACTTAGTCGAATAGCATATGAACTTTGTTCAGGAGCCTTTCCACCTACGAGCAATCGCGGAATTAGCCTTCAATTCCTTTTTTTGCTGTGACAGAGGTGGTGTAGTGACATGTGGCGCGCGCTTACCACTCGCGCTGTCCCCAGTTTGAGTCCCGGGTCGACTCCCGCCCAGGCCAACCAAGCCTTCTACCCTCCGGGGACGGTAATTGGTACCAGATTCGTCTGGGAGGATAAAACACTGACTTGTACATCGGCTGGCCCCGCAAGTCATTGTATAGGCCACATCGCATTCAATAAGCCACTACGATTCTGAATGGAAGTAGAATGCGTGCCGCATCCCACAAAGGGATTGATCAACGGCGAAGACTTTATCCTTTATCCTTTTTTTGGCTGAAGGAACAATTATTGGTCTCAATAACTACATTCAAATTCTGGTGCGAAAGAGCATCGTGTAGAAGCGAGAAAGGTGGGCTACCTGTAACAAATGAGATAGTGGACTTCTTGTTCTTGATGCAATGAGATTTGTTCAAAAAGCACTTGTTGAATTTGGAGATGGCGAATTCACATCGCTCGAATTGTTTTCCAGGATATCTTCCAATCTCACGCAATGAATTTGCCCGAGGCTTATCTCGCAGTTTGTCACTTTGAACGACTCTGCCGCGTACCCTTCGAGAGGAGGAAACCGATTAGTTACTTCTCGATAAAACAACAACATCGCGAAACCACATTCGAAAGTTGTCCATCAATGAGAGCCTTTAGTCAGGAAGTAAATGCTAGACCTGATTGAACTCTTGGAGACTCTAAGATACAAAGAGTACTGTTCCACAAAAGGTAATAGTAAGAAGGACACCACCATTAAATACAAGCTAGGAGTCTTTGAAAGTTTTTTTTCTAGCAAGCTGATTTTTCCGAGTATTTTTATAGCTTTAGTGGGCTCAGGTTTGAACTGTCAAATCGCTTAATGCACAAGTATTCCTTCAATTAGAAGACTACTTATGGCTTGTAGAGGAATTTTTTTTG